TTCAGATCTCCATGATGGCAAAGATTGATATGGCGTTTTCTGGGTGCCCACATTGTACGTATGTGCTTCGTGCTGGAAATCCATGCTGTTGCCCTCTCTGGGCAAATGCAGTGATCATCGAGTTCAGCTCATGGAGTACACGAAGTCACTGGACTATGAGAGAGATGGAAAATGTTGCCAAGGAAATGTAGCAAAGACAATTCAAGCTTTGGGACTAAAGGTCCTGACTGACTTTCCAACTTAGTGTGCAGGTTAAAGGTTGCTTGTAGTCTATTCTGGTAGACCTACTTAATATCCACTCTGTATTGTGAATGTATTCAGCTTTCAATTAGATTCTCATGCAATAACACTAACGGCTGGTGTGGAAAGGTCTCGTCCAAGCTTTAAAATTTGCTAGAATATGCTGGCTTGAGAACAATAAATATAACAAGATTGCCATGCACACAATCTCATAGTGCGTTTTCCACGTTGGGCACTTGTTAAAGCAGGGCTCCTGTTCAGCATGAACTTGTACACTAGGAGGTCACAGTTGTGGAGCTTGAAGAAGGAGTAGAGCTTGACGATGTTCCTGGCCAATAACAATCTCATTTTTTGCCAATACTTTTTTGACTTGTCCTCCTCTTTTCAATTCTTTTATTATCTCTCTCTCTCTCTCTAGATGTGGAAGATCAAGCTGGCGTTCGTGGCAGAGAGGTCCATGGTGGGGAAGAACTTGGAGTGCATTCTTCTCCGCTACCCATGGTTCTTCAAGAGCAGCAACGTGACTATGGATGAGTGTATGCCACTGTTCAAGTGCCATGGCCTGGATGGCGAGAGGATGGCACAAAGCTTGGCTTGAGAAGGATATTTAAATGCTTGTTCCACTCTTTTGATGACCCTTCAAAACAGTATCTGTATTAATGCTTTCTCTCATCCTTCCACTGCTAATGTTTGGACTCATCTTCATGATAATTATGGTCGGAAGACTATGACAGAGACTTTTTATTTAGACGAACAGCTACTTCAACAAATACAATGGTTTTAAATTAAACACTCTTATTTAAAATTTATCATAAATTATAATCTTATCTAAAATTATTATAGGTTTCCTCTAATTATAAAAAAGAAGAAAGAATTTAATACTACTAAAGGGTGATTTTTCTAAAGTTCTGTGTAGAGAAAATTGTACTTCTAGGTTATAAAATGTTGAATAACAGCTCAAAAAAAGAAAAAGGAAAGTTATTATAGCTATTTTATAACTACTTTCTTAGCGTCATACTCTCACTTTGAAAAACATCAATAAAGTAGAATTTATTTTGATTTAGATCCTTCATTAAAACATAGCTAATCACTTTTTAATGTAGTCTTCAAGCATTATTTTCCCCTACTGAAAATGTTGAAGTTTTATGTAATATTATAGTGAAATCCACACTAGACCACTATAGAACATGCCCTCTAGCATTAAAATGGATGCACAAGTGTCTTTAACTTTCATTTTGTTCCACAGTTTACAAATATTGATTGAGAGTTGCTTCCTCTGACCAAACAGTCATCCTCATCATCCTTATGTTACAAATTCTAGAACTTCTTAATATCCAATTTACTGTAGTTAGAAGATTGATTAAGTATTTATAATTACTTTCTTCATCTTTGAATTTAGTTCCAAATTCAAGTGCACTATAAAAGAAGAATATTAATTTTTATAGAAGTAGAATAGAGTTAATAGCTGAAATTTATTATTGGGTTGAGATCCAGAATGAATACCATAGATGTCAGGATGTCTATTGATACCATGTCCCTTGAATCTTTCCCAGGGTGCTATCAGTCATTGGATTATGCATGACTGCAATAGCCTTTAATGTGTTTGACAACTAATCTTTTCACTAGGAATATCTAGTCACTCTATAGAGAATTCTTAGAGAACTGATTACAATTAAGTACAGTTTAGTTATATGATCTCTTTTAAACTTAAAGCAAACTATATTACTGCACAAAATTATTAAGTGGTTTGGAGTGTTAAGTTTTTTCTTTAGAAATATTTTTTTGTGCTAAAAAATTTTATAGCCATAAATTTATGCTACAAAATTAAAAATCATTTACAGTTAAATTTTTGTTCAAAAAAAATTCTTAATTAGCTTAGATATAGAAGTCTTATAAAATAGAATTGTATCTTAGTTTTTGTAAGCAGTCTTTTAGGTTTTATATAGCTAGATATAAAATAAATATCATTCCCAATCTACAATGAATTTGGAGAAGCTTTAGAAGAGTTCCCTAGAAGTATCATCAAGTTTTCCCCATATAGTTTTCCTTAATGCTAGAACTTTTTTCTCTCTCCTTTCTTTTCTTTGTATTATTTTTCATTCTTTTTTTTGCAATAGTTATTTATAATGCATATGATCATGGAATGAGATTTGAATATATATTATCACTGTGAATTCTTGAAACTTTAAGTGATATATAAAGATAAAATAACCACTAAGAACTCTCTCATCAAGAAATTATCCCTTTTCTAATTAACTTAAAAGGAGATAAATAAAGTGTGTATATATTGTATCAAAAATTACATTTCAATGAGTATTATCCATTGAGATTGGGCAACTAATTTTATTATATATGTAGAAATGAAAATGATGATCTGAGTAGGTACATATTTGGTCACTATGACTTTGCATGTGTCATTTGGGTATAGATTTTGGTTACTCTTTTATACCATATTATATAAATTTACACTTGGGCTCATAAGATGAATTTGCCCATTTGTATGAGTTTACACTTAAGCCCATGAGTGAGACACATTAGCAACTTGAGTTGGCAAAATTAATGCTAGCCTATTAATGGTTACCATAAGTTATTACTATGTTACCGTGGGTAAAAATAAACTTCTTTTAGGTTTGCAATGAGTGGTAAATAAATTAATTTGTAATTGTTTAATATGACACTAGTGGATCCTTTCTAAGCATGATTATGAGTGGATCAATTAAAACTGTAAGGATTAGTTTATTAGTTGTTGTCATACTCTTTTATAAACTTTTCTTAGGCTGGATTAAAGATAATGTGAATGCAGTCAAGTTAACCAAAATGAGAGTTATCAAGGACAAAGGATTAAACATGTAAATCATCTTTTCTTCTGTAAAACCTTTTTTTATCCTATTATTCGAGGGTGGTCTAAATTTGAGTTGAGGTCATAAGTTGAGCTCAACTCAGCACAAGTCAACTCAAGTCAATGTAGTTAACTAGAAGTCTTACAAAGGAAATCTAAATTGAAGAAATGAAAGTTTTAACAAACTTTAAAATATTGAAATATGTAAGTACTTGGGTTAAATATTTTCATAAAATTGAGTCCTTTCGAAAAGATAAAGTTTATAAGAATGTATCTTTTTTAAAGCTATATTATTTTACTATGAACTACTTTTACAATTATTACATTTTGGTTTTCTTGGTTTCTTACACATTTTGACAGGTAGACATTATTAATCTATGTCAGTTAAAATAATATACATTTATATATTAGTCCTTCATTTGAAAGATTTTTCTGGGGTTCTTGAAAAGATGAGGAGTAAGAAAATAAAAGATCTGTGAGTAAAAGTTGTAATGTAAATGAATGTGAGAATGTTAATTTCATTTCACTACTACAATTTTTATATTACATTTCTAGTCGTTAATGTGAAGACTACTATCACCATTGATAAAAATGCTTTAAACCCTAAACCCTAAATACTTGATTGAAATGCTTCTGTTATTTCCAAAACAAAAATCTATAGTAAGAGAAATGAAAAAATGAATAGCACGGTGGAAAGCACCAACAAATCTACTCCATAAAATTTTCTATGGCATTTGTAATTTATATATTAATTCATATAAAAACTATGTTACTTACCTATATTGCAATCCTCCCATATGAGAAAACCAAAGTATATTTTCACAGTTAAGAGTTTTCAAGAATTGTTTATAAATAATAATAATAACAATTGAAATCTTTTGAAAGACTTAAAAGTAATATTACATTAAAAATCAACTCTATTTACATTTCCAAGATTGAAAGACAATTTCACACAAGAGAATGCTAGTGTATCAATGTGCCTCACCACTATAATGTATTTTATATTTCCTTGTAGACTATTTCCCTAAAAAATTGGCATAAGTATAGAAAAGAATATATGTGTAGTGGAGTAGGTTTTCATCAGAATGATAAAGTATGTGTATACACGATAATCTAGAATTCTAGAAGCTCTTATGTTTACAAGAAAACTATGATTATGAAACCCCATTTCCAAGACTGATATTTAAAGAATTTGTAAGGTTTAGGGTAGTGTCATAATAAATAAACCTCATTCTCAAAATTAAAAATTAGTATATAAACTACTATTGTCATAGTTTTTTTAATGTCCTTTAGCTCTTTAAAAGTTTATATAAAAATGGTTCAAAGGAAAATCATTATTACTTGTATTTAACCCTCTAGTATTTCATATAAATCTCCACCTCCATCTTTATGTTCTATTAACATTTTACTTTCACCTTCATATAACAATTCTCTTTCTATTGAAGGCTTTAGTGAAGTTGAATTATATATGAAATTCCAGGTCTTGTTACTAAAGAAAGATTGCCTTTAACACTTCAAGAGTAATGCCACATGTTTTTGCAAGATTTTGCTCCTAACACGGCATGTTACTTGAAAGCATAGAATGCTATGATATTTGAACCCTAATTCTTCCAAAGTAAGGAATATTCGCCCGCATCTCCTCTCAATAAAAGAGTAAAAATTCAGGGTTTTTCTCCAGAAGCAGCAGAAGAATGAGGAGATGAAGGATCTGAACAAGGATTCAAGCGGCGGCGATGATCAGGTAATGATCTCTCTCTCAAGCTCAGTCCCACTTAGGGTTTCCCGCTAGGTCACAGTGACGATCCACTTCGCTGAGCCGGATCTGGTCTACACTATCCACTACAGCGGTGGAGTGCCGGCGCAGGCAGCCTTCGACGAGAGCGTTGAGAAGGGGATCTCTGAGTTCCTGGAAGCGACGGGGATGTCCAAGGAGGACTTTGTGAGCCATCCAGAAGGTATGTGGTCCAAGCCTTGTTTCTGGTCGACAAAAGTTGAACTCTTTGTTCTTCTGCAGCGAATCTGGATGGGAAGACGGTGGCGGAGTGGGCCAAAAACGCTGTTCCTCGGGTGATCCTCACCACCAAGCCGAAGAATGGGCTTCTTCACAAGCTGCAGTGGAAGACGAGGGAAGCCCAGATCGCCAGGCAAGTGATGGGTGCGCAGGAGGAAACGGCGAGGCAGAAGGGTGTGGCGATGGCCAGAGCTGTGATGCTGAATCCGCAGCAGGAGCAGCTGGGGCGGCTGCAGAGCGAGAAGAATCAGCTGAAGTACCAGCTGCTTGCCGCGCAGGAGGAGCTAAAGAGGAAGGTGGAGTCCGAGAAGCAGCAGGTGATGATCAGGGAGGCCGAGCAGCAGCAGATGAAGATCAGGGAGGCGGCTCAGAAGGAGGCGAGGAAGCAGGAGGAGGAGGCTGCGAAGGTGGCGAAGAAGAGGCATGACCAGCTGGTGAACCACATCGACAGCCTCCAGCGCCAGCTGCAAGAGAAGCGGGAGGAGCTGGACACGCACAAGAAGCTCCTCCGGGAGCAGCGAGATCTGCTGGGCAAGCAGAGCGAGCTTGTCCAGCAGGAGGTTGACAAGCAGGCACAAATCTTGCACAAGGAACTGGAGGAGAAGCAAGCCGAGCACGAAGCTGAAAAGCTTCTCCTCCAGGAGGTCACGGAGAAACTAGAGCTCTACAATGCGGAGAGGCAGTACCGGGACAATGACAGCAAACAAAAGAAATCCCTCCAGAAGGACCTGGAGAGAAAGAAGGTGGAGAAAGCGAGTGATGAGATGACGATCGTGGGCCTGGAGAAGCAGATATGGGAGCTCAGTAGCAGGGTGGCGAGCTTGGAGCAGGAGAATGGGAAGCTCAGGAGCAGGGTGGCGAGCCTGGAGCAGGAGAATGGGAAGCTCAGCAGCAGGGTGGCGAGCCTGGAGCAGGAGAATGGGAAGCTTAGGAGCAGGGTGGCGAGCCTGGAGCTCCAGAATTCCACGCTCGTGTAGAAGAACGAGGAGATGAGCACCCTGTTCTTCAAGGAGATGAAGGAGCTGCGGGACATGATGAGCACTCAGGAGGAGGAGCACAAGATCACTGTTGGGGCCCTGTGCAAAAGGATTGACGAGCTTAAGACTGGTCGCCCGGTCCCGGTGTAAGCTTCCTCTTCCCATCGATGGATTGAATCGATTGATGCCAGCTTTTTTCCTTTTAGTTTCTGGTTTTCTACCATCGCCCCCTTTATTTTCTGCTTAGCTACTATGTTTTCTACATGAATATATCTACAACGATCCCCCTGGGATTCTCGTCACTGGCGAACTGGCATTGGAGATGTGATCAGCTTTGATCCCCCCGGCTCGCTGGAGGAGGCAGGGGGGATCCGGTTTAGGGTTTTAGGGTTTAGGGTTTGGGGTTTTAGGGTTTAGGGTTGGGGGTTTTGGGTTTTGGGTTTTGGAATTGCGATTAGCCAAAAGCACTCCACATTGCTTGATCCAGTGGAACTCAAGAATGCTAGAGATTAGCTATGGCAATCTGAGATAAGAGGAAAAACTAGAGAAAATTTATAATGAAAAATTCACTAAAGGGAAAGGAAATACATTGGCATGACAACCCGAGACCGGTTTTGTCCTTTTTGGGACTCATCAGCCGGGTGTAGTCACCATGAAAATGGTCTAACCTAGCCCCTCTTTTCCTCTATTTATACCCAGATGCCTTAAGAATATTCAAGAAGCTTTGAAAATATCCAACTGTTTTAGAATTTCAAAGATCTTGTGGTGGAGTGTGAGCAGGCAAGCTTGGAGGAACAGCCTCACAGACTTGGTTGTCACTAGCCACTTATCTTATATATTATGATGGTGGTATTGATTGCTATTATTATGAGTTTATTTTCTACAAATTTTGGTTTGTAGAAAATAAAATATGAGTTTTAATGACATCTTTGTGCAAGGCACAAGATGTGATAGTCCCTTGAAATTTCAGAAAAATTTCAGAGAAGAGGTGGTGGTGATTTTAATTAGCTCAGTATATTTCCCTCAAATTTGGTTTGTAGAGAATAGATGTGAACTTCAATGATATCACTGTGCAAGGCACAAGATATAATAATCAATTGAAATTTCAAAAAAGTTGAAAATTTCAAAGACTGAAATAGGAAATAAACAAGTTTAGTGGTGTGAAGCTTATTCATAGCAGTATATTGTGAACGGTGATGGTGATGGATATCAGCCATGCAGCACGTCCTAATTGTTCCTTATCATGTTTAATAGCCAACCTCATAAGTTATTTCAAAGCATCAGAATATTTCAGGAATATTCCACTCCGACTTTGCAAGAGGTAGCTTATTCATAGCAGTATATTGTGAACGGTGATGGTGATGGATATCAGCCATGCAGCACGTCCTAATTGTTCGTCATCATGTTCAAAAAAATATTTCAAAGCATCAGAATATTCCAGGAATATTCCACTCCGAGTTTGCAAGAGGTAGCTTTGGGCAAGTCCAAGGTAGCTTATCCACGCCAAGTGGGAAGCAAGGTTTGGGGACCGTGTCCAGCATGTGATCACTCTGGGGAGTGAGGAACTTCAGAAATCACCTGTTTAGGGTTTAGGGTGTTCCCCACATCAAGTGCTGCACTATGGAGAGTATAAGGCAGTTTGAAAATGAGGGGGGCCTGTAGACTATTGCTACTGGATTTGCGTGATGGAGAGTAGAGCACATTATTTCGGTCCGTATAATGGATTGTCCGGAAAGCTTCAATAAGGAAGGCTCTTGGGTGTCCACGTGCACGGAGACGAGTATAGAAAAGCTTGCGAATTGCACAGAAGCTCTCAGGGTTACTCTCTCGTAGGAGGTAACACCGAAGTTCAGCACGAATAAAGGCAATCTTTTGGTGTCGAGGATGCGTTGAGTTCCATGGAAGATATTGGTATGCATTTAGTGGCTTTTGAAAGGTGGTGGAGTCTAGGCACCTGCATTTCTCAAAGCATGGGCCTTTGAAAAAATGGATGTCTAGAATATCCATAGATTCAAATGAGATCACTGAGGTGATCTTTATAGAATTGCAGAGGCTTCCATAGCTAGCCAACCAGCATTCCAAGCTCTCTTTTGATCCATCCCAAATTCCAACACCATCGCTTAAGATATATTGGCCATTTAGAAGAGGTGGCCTTAAACTCGTCCTCGAGGGAGCAAAGAAAAAGGCAAGCATACACCACAGCAAAGTTTGACCCCATAGCAGTGCCTTGGATTTGAAGGAAATAACTCCCATCGAACTCAACATAATTGTGTTCAAGGATGAGTCCTGCAGCAGCCATGATAAAGCGTGCTTGCATTGAATCTCCAAAATTGCTATATACAAATTTATGGAGGCAATAGAGCCCTTCACGTGTGGGAATGCTCGGGTAGAGCGACTCCACATCAAAAGTGAAGAGGAGGCAGTCTTTTGGGAGCTGTTGTTTATGAAGATCATGAAGGAGGGTGTGGGAGTCCATAAGAAAGGTTTCCTGTTGGAGGAGAATGCCAAAAAGTTGGCGGTGAAGCCATTTTGCAAGTGGCTCCCAAATGTAGCCAACATAGCTAGCAATTGGTCTCCCACGAATTGGCTGCTTATGTATTTTTGGAAGAAAATACAACAAACAAGCTTTACGTGGAGGTGAGGTACTTGGCTGTGTTCTTGTCCAGCCACGAGCAAGATTTACACTTCAGGAGAAGTTCGAGGAGGCGCTCATGCATGGGTTGATGTGGAATCGACTCAACTCTCTTGTAGACAAGAGGATCATTGAGTTGGCGCATAGCCTCTTGAATGTACCACGTGCAGTCCAGAACAACTACGCCGAGGTTTTTGTCGGCTGGCTTAATCACAATACTATGATCGTGTCGCAGCGCAAGGACTGCATCACGTCTCTAAACCCTAAACCGACCCTAAACCGGTCTCCATCCTCTTAGAAAAGATCGAGGTCTTTTACAACAGGAAAGACGTTGGAGAAGGTGCTCTTGAATGCGGGCAACTCGTGACTCCATGTGCCAGGAAGCAGGGGGAGGATCAAAGTTTGGGTTGGGAACCCGAAACTCTGGTATAAGACTGTTGCTGTCCTTAAACGAATGACGAAGACGGACTGAGCGTTGAAAGTCATCTAAGCATTCCATAATCTTTTTGGCCGTGAGAGGCACTGGATTAGGAATGAATGAGAGCCCAAGAGCAAGGAGGCGCTTTTCAGCGGCACTCAACATGCGAGAAGACAAATTGTGAACAGCACCAATCTCCACTCTATTTTCTAGCTGGGAAACTTTTTGATTGCCGGCAAAATGAAGTAAAGCTTCATGCGGGGCAATCAAAGGTAGCCAGAAACTTTTGCCTTGCCTTTTCTGTCCACAGGCACTGCCGTAACTGGAGAGTGCGGGCGTTGCTGTGGAGGCGAGTTTCTTCCCAAGCCATAGCGTTGGGTTCGTTCGTGGAGTGGGGTGTTGTTGTGGTGCTGTGAGGGCTGCATCGCTTGTCCTCTGGGAGGTGAAGGTGGTTTCTGGTTCTGAGTTGGCTGGCGTTGTTGGGCTGCTGGAGGAGGTCGTGGTGTAGTCTGGCGCCCTCGGCCGCTTGGCCAGTTCGGTTGGGACCGTGGGGGTCGACCGTTTCCTCGAGACTGGCGTTGGCCACCTCTGCCAGTCATGGCTGGCTGGGAACCAAGCACGGTTGGAGATTGCTGGTGCAAGGGACCCCTTGAAGAAAAACCCGGGGCATCGGAATGGGTGGGAGGAGTCCCAGTAACCACATTCCGCCCCTGCTCGTTTCCCTGCCGTCCATGGGTAACGTCACGTTCACCACTGGGGAGAGAAACCTTGCGTGTCTTTGAAGAGCCTGCTTCACGTATGTGGAGTGAGGTATCCGTCCTTTGCTGTCGTTTGCCTTGTGATCTGGTGCCTCTGCCAGCATCTTCGTGGTGTTGTCTCGGAATTCCACGCTCCCTCTCCTTCCACATCTTGTCAAAGCAGCTCTGGACAAGCATCTTAACAGTGTCTTCCTTGGGCAGTGTCTCCGCCTTGGCTCGTGCAGCATCCTCTGCAGCTTCCCTTTGCTTGCGAGCATTTTCCTTTTTGCTCTCCTCAACTCCATATGCCACTGCTCCAATTGCAGTCGCACGTTGGTATTCAGCTATCAACTGATGCTTGCGGGCATTGAGAGTATGTGTGACAGCCTCTCGTTGTGCATTGCCACAAGCCTGCAAAGCACAGTGAACAAAATCATCCATTCGATCATTGAAACGTTGAGAGAGTCCATGGTTGATGAGATCCGCAAGGGTAGCAGCCTCAGCCTCTCGTGCCTTGAGCAGAGAATCAAGAAGGCCCTTCAAGTATTGTTCGTGGATTGCTTTGATGCTGGCATCAAGAAGTTCCTGACCGTGAGAGGTCACCTCAAGCTTTGGCACACGAATGCGAAGGTCTTGAGGGAACTGCTTTTTATCACGGAGCTGAGTCAATCTCTTCACAGCCTTGTGAGCTTGATTTAGAGACTTGAGCTCGTTCATGAATTCCTTGATCGAGCATTCAAGGATGGCAGAAAGAGCCTCATCAAGCCTACCAAGTCCCTCAGTCGAGGAGCTAGTGAGGGCATTGCCAGGGGCAAGGAAAGGTGGCAACTGCTGTGGAAGAGTGTTTCCAGTAGCAGAAATGCCAGCACTATTCTGCAACACTGTGAAGAGGTCTACCAATCCAGAGAATGGAGTAGATGATGGCACAGCTGGGGATGAAAAAGGTGGTGGGATTGAAGTTGTTGATGAAAAGAGTGTTGGTAAAGTGGAGGCCATGGAGAAAGGTGGTGTGGTGGAGAAGGTTAATGGAACAGGAGGCGAGATGGAGAAAGTTGGTGGAGTATGAGGTGTTGTAGCAAAGAGTAGAGGGCTAGTTGTCGATGGAGTAGGTGTATGGATGGTTGTAGTTGTGAGCACAGAGGTACATGCAAGCGTAGACATGGGTGCATATGCTGGTGCATGTGGTGAGAGTGTTGGAACTGACGTTTGAGGT